CCGGGGGCCCCGGAGGAGGGGATTCCCCGACTTCCGGGCCCCGGAATGGAGGGGCATTCCACCCCGCCCGTTTGGCAAAAAGCCCGGTGACTGGTCTGGCGCGCAATTTTCGGGCACCTGGTCTAGCACGCAAGCCCCCCCAGATCGATTCGTGATAGATACCTCCGGTGGTCCGCCGTCGTTCGGAGGATTCGCGCAACGCGATGTCCCTATGCTGCGTGCCGGTGCGGTCCCCTAGACGGCTCTTCCTTGCCGCCCTCTCTGCCCTCGGCCTGCTCACTCGCGCCGCCAGCCAATGCGCAAACATGTATTGAAGAAGGATCCGCACTTGGCATTCGCTCGTGGCGGCCGTGCGGACTTCCGCGGTCGCAATGGCGCGTACTCTAGCGTCCTATGCTTTCCTGTCAACGCCCGGCCGTGTGTCTTGTGAGCTTGTTTGTGTCTGTGTGTCGCTCGTGCGTGTCGTCATCATCTGTCTCGCGTCCAGCCATACCGCGTTGGTGTCCAGTGGGTCCTAAGCTGCCGCGCCAGTCTGGGGTCGCATCAATGGCCCGCGTCACCGGCTCGACGTGTCGCTGCACGCGCACGGGGACGAGTCAGCGCTGTCCCAAGCCCACGGCTTCATCGGACAGTCGTTCGGCTGGCGGGCGGCGCGCTTGCGCGCAACGGCAAACGCGACCTATACCCGACGGAAGGGCGCTTCCGCACGTCGGGGAGGGCGCCATCGAGGGCAACGCGGCGATGTACGAGCTGCCCGGTCCGCTCGCGACCGAGTTTCCCTTCTCGCGCTTTCGCGAGGCAAGGCAAGCGGCGATGCTGTCCTTCCCGCCCAGCGTGCAGCGACGCAACGCTGGACGCCTCGTCAACGGACCTGGTCGCCGGGGCGGCGAATGCACCTCGCGCCGAGCGCAGGCTCGCCGATACCCTTTTCGGAAAACTCAGATTTTCTTATGATTGTCTGGCCATCCCGATATTTCCACTTTCGTATTCACAGCCTATTATTCACAGGACTTTACCCGCACACACTCCTCGGCGCCCACGAGCTCGAAGCCGTCCTCCTCCTCCGCCGCCTCCTCCTCGGGCTCGCGCCCTCCCTCCGCCGGCGGCCAGCGGTACGCCGCCAACGGCCCAATGGGCAGCGCGCTCAGCGCGCTGCGCACCGGGTGGAAGGCGGCGTCGTCGAGCGCGGCGCGCAGCGTCTGCAGCGGCGTCGGCCCGCCGCGCCTTTCGGCGGTGACGAGCGTCTCCTCCTCGAGCACCAGCTCGTGACCGGCGAGT